ACTATACTAAAACAATAAAAATCAATTCTATTCAATTTTAATTATTTCCTTTATTATTAAACTATTTTACTTTTTCTATTTTTTTTAGAAAGATAAAATATTTTTGTAATCTATCCTATATTTAGAAAGAAACACAATATCTCAGTTCTTGTAAATAATGAAGGGGACTGATATGCATCGTGATGAATTCACTAGTATGAGTATCGGTGACCTTGTTGGTTCAAAAAGGGTTTATGAAGAAAGAATTAATACTATCAATAAAGAAAATGAAGCACTTAAGGCTCAGATTGAAAATGAAAAACAAAAGAGATTAAAAGCAGACTCCCTTAAAGAAGAACAAATAAAAGAAAATCATATTTTAAAACAGATTATTCAAGAAAAAGAAGTTGCAATAAGTAGTATGGAAGGATCTATCAAGGTAGCTACAGGTGAGAAAAATGCATTGAAAAAACAACTTGATGTAAAAAATGGAATGCTTAAAGAAAAACTTGATGAAGCATCTCAATTGAAATTGAGAATGATAAAATTAGAGAAAAAGAATGATAAGATAATTCAAATGTTAGATCAAAAAATGGACAGTATACTCAATAAAACAGATGAATCATTGAAGACAATTGAAATTATTCAACGAAAAGATATTTCAAAAGAAGTTCTTGATTGTTTTGAAGAAAGTAAAGAGGAAATGGTAAATTCATTTGAAAAGAATAGTGGAGAGATTGAAGAAATGAAAGAAAGAATCAATGAAATGAAAGAAGAGCAGGCACAAGAAAGACAACAACAGAAAGCATTATTAGAAATCCATAAAGTGATTATTGAACAAATGAAAGAAGAAAGAATAAGCTTGATTAATGGAATTAAAGGAGCACTTGGAATTAAAAAAGAATGTAATATGAATGACATTATTGAAGAAGTTATGAAATTAAAACAAAAAAAGACTATTATAGATCTAGAAAACAGAGAGTTGAAAAGAGATATGGAAAGAATGGAAAAAGAAATGGAAATTTTAAAGGAAAAACAAAAAGATTATGCAGAAGTTATTTGTTTAGCAGAAGGAATATTAAAAAGAGAATTAAAAAAGTAATAAATCTATTCTTTATTTTAATATTCTTGGTTATTAAACATTAATATAATGTTTAATTTTTACGTTTTAATTAATTATAACTAAAATAATATATGTAAAGTTTCTATACGTATAATATCATAAATTTTTATAATATTCTTTTTAATATTTAAACTAATAAAGTAGTTCTTATTGATCAAGAAAATTAATACTCTTTCTTTAATCATCTAAAAATTATTAGAATACTTATTAATAACACATATCATCTTCATCAATAAAACCTTTTTTCATGTGAGTTTATAATATGGTGATAAGAGTAATGAGTAAATTCATTGTTTTTCTAATATCTATGAAAACTAACCATAAAAATATTTCGGGTAATATTATTGTTCATAAATATACTGTTCTGGTATTCATTCTCAAATAAATAATCTATTTAATTATATTTATATTTAAAATCAACCACTTTTTATGATAATTTATTAGAAAATATTTTTTGGTTTTATCTAGTAAGATACTTGTTTGATTAGGTTTCATCATTAAAATTCATATCACTTTGGTATTTTCATTATTAATAATTATTCTACATAATAGAAATATCTCTGAATGAATTTATATATAAACTAAAGGAATAGAAATTATTCTTGTATTAATAATAACTAATACTTTAGAGTAGCTAATGTTATGAGGCAGTATAGAGTGTTAGATATTAATGCCTATTTTTAGTACTGAAAAAATTAAAAGAAGAATCGATAAAAATAACACAATAGAGCTGACATATAAATTGAACAAAACCACTCCCCATTTCATTAGATATATTTGTTTCATATTTATCAATCTCTTAGGCACTGAATTAGAAGTAGTAGAGACAAGAAATAAAGTAATAGCTCTTTCAAAATAACGCTTTTTGAGTAAAGAGTTTTTATAAAGTCTTAATCAATTATTAAAACAATAATTTTAAGATTTTGAGTTCTTCCATGAGAAATAATCATTAAAAAAGAAAAGAAGAGTAAATA